TACAAAAAGTATTCTCGTCGCTTCATAACGTTACGGTTGAACCACTGATGGTAGATGGACTATTCTGACGATGTCTTTCATACTTTTCTGGACCTTGACAGTGTAATTTACTTGGCAGTCAATGGGACAGTCACAAGCCTCCCGGTTTTCATCCAGAATATCTTGAATTGTGTTCTGAAGACGAACGAAGCTTTTACGGGTTTGGAACGACATGGGGGTAAGTGAAGTTAATGACAAAATTTTCATTTTGGGGTGGAGTATCCCTTTAAATGACTTAAACTACCAGTAGGTGGTGGTAAGTCACAATCTTAATTAAGCGAGTCATTCATTCAGCCAATTAGTTCAGAAAGTTGACTCATTCAGAAAAGAAGCAAGTGATCTCTTTTCTGCTGTGAATGTCAATTCTTTAGTGACTTCTTCAACTCTTGTGTAAAATATAATAGAACTGCATAGCTGCTTTCTATAACAGGCAACATCACGGCAGTGTTAATTTCGTTGACGAATAATTTCCGTCATAATTTTCGTCAACGACATTTGTTTCACTGACGACAATGAGACGATAACGAACTAAAACACTTTGAATGACAAAAACTATGATGAAAATTTATTGACATTTTCGTCAAAGAAATAAAAACGAGACGAAAATGTTAGGGAGGGACGATTTGGGAAGAGATTCATTCAGAACGAATCTGCTGCATAATTAGGAGGTTAGATGCGTACATATGAATCATATGAACCAGCGGGACATAAGCTAAAATACACTTGCTGCAGTCAAATTTCAGCTGCTATTACACCGAATGAAATGTGGTTGACGTGTTTGACTCTTGACATGCAGGGAAAAAAAAAACATTGGCGGCACCATCACATTTTATATGCTTGTTAATGGTTTAATAAACCTCAAACACAAATATTTCATATGATTTAATAGATATCCTCATAATGAACAACTTTTTCTTGTTCAATTTGTGTAAAAAGTTTGTTGCCAAACAAAGGCTATATTGTAAGAAGATTCATTTTTCCATCATTTAAAAATGTTTCTGCCAAATAATAATTATATTAAGCACAAACACTGAGACTGGTTGACATCATATGAGCAAACGTCAGACATGCAATAAATAAATCAAACATTATTAAATCTACATTGCTTAGAATCAAAGCAAGATAAACTCATAGTTTACTGAGCAAGAAACTAACACCAACAATAAAATAATTTTATTGACAAGACATTTAATACACTGTATTATATAGAATATAGTAAATGTTGATTTTGTATCCTGGCCAATGTAATATTTTCATGAAATTTGCTACAAAATATTTTGGTATAAATATTGGCATAGTTCATGCAAAATACAGTATATATATTAGCGCTGTCAAACGATAAATTGCGATTAATTGCATCCAAAATAAAAGTTTTTGTTTGCATAATAT